CCGGATAAATTGCCTGCAAATGAATATAATGAATGCAAGTGGTCCTTTCACGAAATTCTGGGAAGAACATGGTTTCAAAACACTTCTAATGACAACCCAGTTCAAACCTTTGGGTTGTTTACTTGAAACGCCCTAATCAGTTAATCACGGTTTTGAATATCCAGCGGAATTTTATACCGAATCCAGTTTTATATTCCAGAATGGGTGGTCTGAAACCGTTCTAATTGGCGGTTCATGGCACTTGTACGACAACATATTGTTGAGTGCGAACCATCAAATCTATATATTCAAAAATGGAACGTGCCTAAGTGTTTTGGGTAAACTCTTGTGAAAATGCCATGCTATGCATAGCTTAGGGTCTTTGTCACAGTTTGACCATCCAGTGTAGGATATCAAAAATGCCAATCCAGAACATGTTTTTCCTTCGAACCTTCGCTGGTTGATTGTCATAAGCTATGTCAATAAGTGAAATATGGGTTAGATGATCTGTTTTTCCCGCAGTACTTAGTTATCATCGTTGTTTTCATCAAAATCTATGTGGGTTCCCAAAGAGGTTGCCGAGTATACCAGGCCCATGGAAGGGGATATCAACCAACAATCATAGGCCATAGATGGCCATAGGCATTTTTTCACCAGGGGGATATTCACCAATAGGCGGATTTCATTAGTTTGACAGCAAATGATAGGCAAGTTGACCCATAGAGCAATAAGTTATGAAACATCGATGGTTCCAGCAAATTCAACCACCAGTTTACTGTTTATATCTGTTTATGGTCAGTTCCTCAAAAAGGTTTTGGCGAGCTGGTTACGTCATATCACCCTAGCTTAGAATTTTCTCTGGGGGTTGCCCCGAAATGGGTTTTCTTCTGACTCATAGATTCCTAATTTGAATTCCATCGTTTTAAAGTGACTTCATTTTGGCTATTTTTTTTGCCGGTGAAAGGTTGGCACCAGTATTTTACAGAGATTTTTGGAACATAATCCAAACAAACACACAAACACATACACACACACATACACACACATATATATATGTATATATGTATATATGTATATATGTATATATGTATATATGTATATATGTATATATGTATATATGTATATATGTATATATGTATATATATGTATATATGTATATATGTATATATGTATATATGTATATATGTATAATATACATGTTTATTGAGCCAAGTTCCTGGTTTTGCAGAGCTCAACAAACATGTACAATTTCAGTTATATAGCATTCTAAAGAAAAAACTGATGGGATTGAACGGAGCAGTCAATGCCGATCATGAATAGCCTTGGTTTGCGTGCTATATCCCCATTGGTTCATCAGTACCCCATTGTTAATCCCATTGACTAGTAACATGAAACGCACGGGTGAATTCCATATTGATTTAGTAAATCCGATGTAAAATGTCAAACAAAGGAGTCAGCATTGTCCTGTCTATTTATCTTGGGAATTCCCATCAATTGCCAGCTACTAAATCACGCCTTTGGTAATTATCCAAACAATCAGTTGGTTCCAGTAGCTATTAGTGAACTCAAACATCATCTCAGTCATTATATGAGTCATCTTAGTTAATTAGGTAATTAGTCAGTTCCAACATTATATAACCATTGTTAACCACTATTATATAACAATTGTTAACCACTATATTAATCATTATTAATAATTACTGGCCAGAACTCGTCACTACAGTCACTACAGGTGCGAATCTGCGTCACTCGTCCCCATTGCCAGGGGTGTGGAGGTGCTCTCGTCCCTCAGCGTGGCCTTCTTCCTTCCCGCCGTGCTGCGGACGCACGCCTCCACCACGACGGCCTGCAATAGGTTGCCGTCCCTGGTGACCTTGTGCGAAGCGGACACGGAGGAGGAGGATCAGGAATACATCAACCTGGCCATGTCTTTTGGCGGAAAAATATAGGGGAAGAACCAGGTGGCAGGGATTTAAACAGTTGGGGTTAGTAAGTTGAGTAACAAGTTTGTAAAAGATACCAACAAAAACAATAGTTGTAATGGATATCATTGATTATCATTGAGGATTTCATCAACTTTGCTATGCAACACCTTAGCAAAAGGTGAGATCAAAAGTTGGGATCAACATGAATCAAATGAATCAAAGTGGCCAAGCGAATTCCACGTTTTTTTTTTCTCCTTCTGGATGTCTATTCTTCTTCTTATTTTTCTTCTTCTCATTGTTTTTACTATTATCATTGCTGTTATTGTCATTTGGCATTACTATTCTCATCGCTATCATTATGTCAAACGGTTATGAGATAAGTTATGGGATCAATGGATCAGGGGATATAATTTGGATGGTTGGGAGGTTAGAGTTCCAAAGACCTATGGGGGGTCAGCAACTAATCTACAGAACAAGAAGTGGAGATGGACATCCACAGAGTTCCACAGACCTCTCGTCAAGTTGCCGCCTATATATCTCGCTCCCTACCCTCTATCAGGCTTTCAACATGACTGGAGGTACAACCCAAGAGTAACACGCAAGAGTCCAACGACAATGGGATCACGGGGGGTTAACGACCACTAACAAAAACGACAAGCCGTTGACTTGCTGGGGATGGTTTCAGATGTTTACGAAGGCCTGCTGACTTTTTGACTTCCTTTTCCCCATCTACTGTAGATAGAATCTGCCGATCTACCAAGAAAAAGGAATGGCCAAACATTGATGAACATAACCTTTCTTGAAATTGCCAGTAGCTTGTCCAGCACCGAAGTGGCAGTTGCATGGATTCCCCTTGCGAGAAAGCCAGGTTTTTATCCCTCAGCGAGTGTGGCTTCTTCGTGTGGGATACATGTGTCAGCGTCAGCTTTTTGGTCGCCATTCAGAGCGCAATTGGATGCTGCAATGCCAAACCTAGATTCCGTGAACTTTCCTGGGCTGTTGAATTACTTGGGGGTTACCATTTTAATATATTTTAATGTTAGTAGAGCAATAAACTATGCCACTATACCATTTTTATGGCTGGGATTTCAAGCATCAAAATAAATATGGCTGGTTTTTGTTGGTGCTTTACCAACATTACTGGCGTTGTCGGTGCGCCGATGAGCTGAGGCTTGGTTCAGAAATTCCTATACTTCACCATCGCCATGGCAGGTGCGACGACGCGTGGTGACCATCACGGAATCATAAATGAAAGTTAGTACGGAGATATGATTGCCAAAAATATCTTAGTGGTGAGTGAATGCTCGTAATTTGCTGGAGGCTGGGGATGAAGAAGTTGTGAGAACTTGGGGTGTGGGAGGCTCCGGTAATATGTCTGACCTGGCGAGTTTTCAAGTTGAGCCTATTCTGCCAATGGTTGGGGGTCCATCCATGGCTATAGAAGTTGGATGGAGAGATGGACAGATGGGGAACAGATTGGGTACCTCAACTGAGATCCTGGGTCCAGATCTGCCAAAAACTGTGATAGTTTCGAAACACGGCAGGAAGCATCGGCTTTCAGACTGGGGCACTGAACTTCAAACAGATCTCCGAGAGCTAGATTGGATCTATTCGTCAAATCTTCCCAAATGGGAAGGCAAGAGAGAGCCATGCTCATTTGTCGATTGGTGATCATTTTTCGATTAATCTTTCCCCCCTAATACAAAACGCCCCCCCACCCAAATAATGAACACCTCAGGTAGTTTTTATTATTAGGGTGGTATTTATTATTAGGGAACCCCAATAATAAATTGAAGCCCTTAACTAAAAAAAACAATGTGTTTCGATTTCAAAATCCATCAAATTTCCTTATTGTGAATTTCAGCCTGCACCATTCCATGTTCCATGATCATTGATGCTTTACTTGTGGCCCTCTTTTTGGCTGAATGCCCATTTCGTCAGGGATCCCCTGAGTCTTACCTTTCGCATGCCATGTGAGCAGAAGGTGCCAGTGTCTGCATTTGTGCTTTTGACCTCAGATCTGGTTTGTTACAAGTTGGCACCGGAGCCGCTCGGCAGGTGTCATGGAACAGAGTGAAGATGGATACGACCTTTCGGCTTGTTATCCATCACCGAGAGATGTTATGCCCCCAGATGACCCTGCCGAGATGACGAGTCCAGGATGTGAGCCCAATGATATGCAGTCGCTGCCTTCACCGCAATCTGCAGGTCACTCGGACACTTGGAAGTGGCGTTGTTTGGCTTGTGATTCACTGGAGAGTGCATGGCTTTATGGTGAATGGGTTTGTTGCGGTTGTGGCACCACCGATTTCTATAGAACCAATCAGCCTGCCAAGAAGATGACTTCGGATGGCACGTGGATGTACATTCCGAAAAGTCGCCCTGCTGTCGTCCAGCCCCTGAGTAAGGCCGCTCGGAGAAGGAAGAGACGTCCAAAGTATGGTGGCGACCCTTCTGGTTCGCTTGATGGTTTTGAACGTGATCCCGAGGAGGAGAGCCACACCACTGACCCACTTGTTGAACTAACGCCTCCACCTAGTGCTCATCCGATGTTGAAACAACAAGGCGCCCCAAGACCTTCGAAGGTGCCAAGTACTCAACAATCGAATGCTCAGGAGAACCAACTGCTAGATGCCCTCCGGACGCTTGTTTCTTCTAAGAAGACTGATGACGATGATTGGAATTCAGCAGCTGGACCCTCCAAGGGTGTTCGTTGGCGTGGTGGTGCAATTCCTCAGCCTCCCGTTTGGAGGTATGATCGTGATGACCTTCGAGCATATAGCAAGTTTGTGAAGAAGGTTGACATTTGGAAGTTGCAAGCTGCCATACTTGTCGAAGAAAGAGATGGCTCTGTCTCTTTACAACTCTCTGCAAGGAGAAGCTGAACAGGAATTGGAACATACTCCGATTGAGGACATTCATAGGGATGATGGTGTGGAACGCATTCTGACAGCCTTGAAAGGCCCGATGGAGCAAAAGGTCGTGTATCAGAAACGCAAATTTTTGCACGAGTTTGAGAATCTTCGTCGGTATGCTGGTGAAACAATGAGGACTTACATGTTTCGTAGGTCCCAACGTTGCCTGCAGTCTGTTGGAATTGATGTTTCTCTGACTTATGATGATGAATCGATGGGAGCAAGGTTGCTTGATCGTTCAGGTCTTTCTCAAGAAGGCCAGCGGATGATTCTGGTGGGAACACAGCAGCGTCTCAATTTTGATCTCATAGTTGATACGATGTTGTTGTAGTATCCAGAATTTCGTGGTGCTCCCCCTGTAGTTGGACGCGATGGCAATACTGTCAATCCAAAGGGGAATTCTAAGGGTAATCGTTCAACATCCTCTTCATCTTCATCATTTTCGGCATCCGCTTCACAGTCTTCAACTGCAGCATCTAGTTCTTATCGTGGTGCATCTACTGGCAAGATGAACCCTCGACGCCAGGTCCATTTGACCAACAATGAGAACGCTGCCAATGAGCTCCACGATGACGAGGAGTTCATGGATGTCATTGATGAGGAGAAGGATGAGGATGATCAACAGTTGGCTGATCAAGAAGCTGATGACCATGATCCTCCTCCTGAGGATGACGGCAATGACAATGAGGAGTTTGATCCCTCCGAACTAGCCCAGGTTCTAACCTTGACAGCAAAGAAGTTATCCAACCAGACGTTGGGTCGCAAGTTCACCAATCGACCAAAGACTGCCCAGAAGACCAAGCTTTCGGCGCAAGACAAGCTGAACACACATTGTTCAGCATGTGGTGCTGTTGGACATTGGTATCGTGATCCTGAATGTCCTCGCAACGGTGGATCTGGTGGACCAGCTGGCACGGAGAAAAAGGGCGTCAAAGGAACATCCAAAGGTTCCACTCACAAGGTTGGCATCATTCACCATGACTATGGAAGCGTCGAGATCCATGAAGACCCTCAAGATCAATATGGCAACATGTTTTCGGTACAGATGGTTGGCTATAACCGCTTCCAGGTGAATGAGATCAAGTTTAACCACGTCGACCAGTTCAAGGGTTACATGATTATCGATACGGGTTGCCAACGAACTTGTTGTGGTAAACTTTGGTTGGATGCTCATCTCAAAGAACTCAAGTACTATGACATGATCCCCAAGATGGTATCCCAGCGTGATGAGTTCCAGTTTGGCAAGGGTGAACCTTCAATTGCTACCTGCAAGGCCTATCTACCTTCGGCCATCGCTGGAGTGCCCTTGCTGTTGGGAACCTCAGTTTTGGAAGATAATGTGCCATTCCTTGCGTCCAACAGTTTGCTGACTCACCTTGGAGCCATTGTGAATTTGGTCACGGATTCTGTTTTCTTTCAACGTTTGGGTGCGGAAGTGAAGATTTATCGCATGGGTGGACACATGGCAATCAACATTTTTGACTTCATGACAGAGTGTCCATCACAACTAGAAGTATGTGAACTTCTTTCCAGACCACATGTTTGGAAGAAGCCACACCCCGAGATCATTTTGAGCACTCAAAGTTTTCGACCTGGCCAGCCGCCCAGCCATCAGCCTGATGCATCAAGCACCGCCATGCTGGTTGCAAAGGTGGCGCCAGATGACTCAATTCGTGACCAACCTCTTCAAGCAGACCGTGATCCAAATGATGGTAGCAATCCGCTGCCGTGTGATGCCCAGGAACGTGTTGCAAGCACTTCCACCAACCATGGACTATGTGATCAACCCGGTGGATTGCGAACATCAAAGATGCCGAAGATTCGGCAATCGACACGGGCGCTTCGCCGAGTGTCAGGACTGCCGACTAGGGTGGAAGTGGAACGAAGGCATTCAGAAGTGGGAGGAACGTGGGTTGCCAAGTCGCTCATCGCCCTTGCCACCATTGCCACTTCCATCTTCAAGCAACACGACACCTTCAAGGGCATATCCGAAGAGCCAACAACCTCCTACTTCGATCGCTATGTCCCGAGCCAAGACCATGGCACAGCCGCGTCGTCCTCCACCTCAACATTCGATCAGCAGTGGATGGACCAATTTTCAATTGCCAGAGATGATGGTGGAGCACCTCACCCAGGATCAACAACTCGAGGTCTTCAACATCGTCCAACAGACTTCTCCTCTCGACATGGAGCCACAGAATATGGCCCAGGCAATCTTCCTGTCGGAGGAAGTGTATCGAGAGTCGAGGGAGGAGATGGAACGTCGTCAAGATCAACAACGATGGGACAGGCTGATCGAATTGGGAGCCATCGAACCCCAGGACGACGAGATCTACGACTGGGATGCGGTGGACTTACAACCTTGAAACCTGGCAATGCAAAGCGAGTTCGAGGAGATCTACAGAAGTCTTCACGACTTTTGCAGTTGGAGCACTCGGTCTATGCTGCATCAACTACGGCTAAGGATCGACCTTCACCATCTGCTGATCTCTGGGAACTATTTGCCGGAAGAGCTCTATGCACTGAGCTTGCAGCACAACATGGCTTAGTTGCACTTCAACCTTGGGATCTTCTTTATGGTCAGGATCTCATGGAGTCATCAACGAGGCATGAAGCTATGAGGGTTCAGAAACGTTTTCGACCCCACCTCATGATGATGGGCTTAGACTGCCGTCACTACACTAGGTTCAATCGCAATTTGAACTACGCTCATCGATTGGATGAGTGGTATGAACTACAAGCCCAAGATCGTCCACTGCTTGATTTGACTTGTGACCTTGCGGAAGGACAATACAAGCACGGTCGATTCTTCTGGGTTGAAAACCCCCAGAACTCTGAGGTGTGGGAACAAGATCGCATTCAGTTTCTTCTCTCATTGCCTGGCGTTTGGAGTGTTGTGGTGGATGCCGGAGCCTTTGGTGCATCCATCGATGATAACCTCATCGCCAAGCCCTTCAGGATCATTGGTAACATGCCCGGACTAGATGAGGTGTTGAATCAACGGCTGACAGCGGCCCAGAGAGTGGATTGTGTACCGATCCATGACACGCCGTTCACAAGAATATCCACATGACATGTGTCTTGCAGTGGTTCAACATCTCAAAGAGTATGTCCACCAACCGCAACCACACCGATTTTGCCATGTGCATCAAGCTCTACCAGTTCAACAACCAGTTGCCGATCTCCACCAATGGGACAAGATTGTTGAACAACTTGAGCTGACCTATGATCGAACATCAAGGCGTCCCTATGAGATTGGCAATGACACCGGGCTTGGAAAATCCATCCAGGACTTGTTTCGGATGGGCACCACCAAGATTCAAGTGGTTTCAACTCCAACGACTCGAAGATTTCCAGGCGTCATTGAGGAGTTTCCCCCTACCAGAGCTGCCTTCTTGGCCTTCACTGATGGTACCAGATCGGTGGAGGTGGAAGGCCTTCAAGATGTGCAGTTTCCAAAACAGCGATTTTCAAAAGCTGTTCGCATTGCTGTCTTCGCCTTTGGGCGTCGACGACAAGTCCCACAACAAGAGACTAAGGCAGTTCCTGGTGTTGTGCCCAATCTTTCCACTGACATTGACTTTCCCGGCATCACTTCGACAGTGGCCCGGATGCACCTCAACATGGGACATCCTTCACGACAAGAACTGTCAAGGCTCTTGGCATACCAAGGAGACGTTCCTGACCAGGTCTATGAAGCTGTTCGCAAACTTCGATGTGCAACCTGTCAGAGACTGCAGCCTCCACAACAACCTCGTCCATCAACTACTCCAAGCTTTTATGCAGGGCAGTTCTGTGATGAACTCCAGATGGACATTTTCCACTGCCGAACCTTGAGCGGAGAATCCTTTAAGGTGTTGGGCATCATTGACAAGGCAACAGGCTTTCATCAGGCCATTGCTCCATCAGAAGCCAGCAGCAACCACATGTTTGACTGCTTGGAGCAAATTTGGTTTCGTCCTTACGGACTACCCTTGAAGATTGTTGCCGACCCCGACACGTCATTTAGAGGTGACTTCCAAGAACGAGTTCATTCCCTTGGATGCATTCTCGAACTTTGCCCTCCAGAAGCTCACCATGTCATAGCCATGATTGAGAGACGTAACTCAATCTTGCGTCTTGTTCTTGAGAAGTTGATTGACCAGTTCGCCGCAACAACTGTTGAGCAGTGCAAGTTCTTGCTTTCATCAGCTTGCCATGCGATGAATAGTGCCATTCACACACATGGAAGATCTGCCTACCAAGCAGTTTTTGGACGGCAACCACGACTTCTCAACAGCAACTTTAATGACCCAATGAGTTTGGCATCATCACCACCTGTTGCTCGACTTCATTCAGACGACTACGCCTACAGGGCTGAGCTGGTGCGTGCTGAAGCCATCAAGTACATCCACGACTTGGATGTTAGTCGGCATCTTCGCAGAGCCTTACTTCGGAAGACTCGCATCACCAAAGTGGCTGATGTCATGCCAGGCCAGAAGGTTGCTTTCTGGCGTTGGGCAAAGCGAGGCGGCAAGAAGAGAGGCACTTGGATCACAGCGACCTTCTTGAGCTGGGATCCTTCGGCAGTGGGCAAGCAAGCTTGGATCAGAAGTGGTGGATCTAGCATCTTGGTGACGGCAGAACAATTGCGTTGTGCTTTTGGCTTTGAACAATGGACACCAGATGTTGACGACATCAAGGCCTTGAAGAGCTCAACTGACGATTTCACCAAGTTCATGCTTGACGATCGTGGACCACCACCACCTGATGACCAACGAGAGCCAATTCTACACCATGAAAATGAGGATGAGGACCAATATGAGGAATTCTTTGCACCTACTCCATCTATGATGGTTCCAGTGACTCCACAACAAGTCACTTCAACACATCAACCATCAGCAAAAACTCACCCGACAACACCAATTCACCAACCACAAGCTTCACCACAAACACCAACAATACGGCTTCAGCAAACACAACAAAACACCACTGAGCAATACAACATACACATTGACAGCCCAACTAACATAGCACAACAAGTCATTCAGCACCAACAGAACCAGCAATTCAACAACTTTGGCAACACCCCACAACGATCTCGACAGAGATCACGCACACCTATATCCACACGCATCAGGGATGACAAAGTACAGAGAGCTGAACAACCAGCTCAACAACAAGCAGACTTACCTGCACCGCTGGAACAACCAGCAACAATTGTACAGCAACCAGCAGCGTTGGACCAACACTGCCAACAACACCACGCTCACAGGCCTCAAGGAAGAATTCGACAGTTTCACATCCTGCCATTTTGGAGGATCAAGGTCTACCAGGTACCACAGGTCAACCAGCTCAACAGGTAGTTGACATACAAGCAGCAGCAGCAGCCGAACAAGCAGCAGCAGCCCCAACAACTACCAACGACCAACCACCTGCTACGACCAATGTGGATGAACCACAACAACAAGTTGTGATTGATCTTGTTGAGCCTGACGATGAACAAACGATGGAAGCAGAAAGTGGCCCGTATCTACTACCACAGAAACGACCATTCAACCAACTACCGGTGTTGATACAAGCCGACAAAAACGAATATGTCAGGATCCATTCATACCATGATGGTTCCCCCGACATCGGCTATGGTCCTTCACACGCAAACTTCCATCAGGCTTACTTGACAACACAACAAAGACAACAAGATGTTCAGTCCATCAACAAGGACCCAACAGAATCTGACACAACACAGGATTCTGACACAGACGAGGAAATTCCACAACCACAACAACTTAACATGTCCACCAGTTTTGGCAAGCTCTCTCCAAACACCAAAACTACCACATCACTTCCTGAGTACAAGCAGGGCATGACCAGACAACAAATCAAAGCACTCGACCGTGAAATACCATGGCGGAAGGTGCTGGAGATGCCTCCATCTTATGTGGATAAGTTCCTGCTTGCAATCCAGAAGGAAGCTGATTCTTGGGCATCATGGAATTCAGTGGAACCCTTGTCAGACAAGGCTGCCGACCAAATCTTCAACCATCCCATCTTGAAGAAGAGGGTGCTGAAGAGTCGAGCCCTTTATCGCGACAAATCCTGTGGCATCGGCGAAGTTCGAGCAAAATGCCGAGTGGTTGCCTTGGGTCACTTAGACCCTGACCTTGAGACGTTGCAACGAACATCGGCAACTCCAGGTCGCATTGCCGAGCACATTGTTTTCGCGATGATTGTCGCAGGCTACAATGGTGAGTTGCTATCATCATCATTGTCTTGGACGACATGGATTGCAGACGCTGCCACTGCTTTCCTCCAAGGCAGTCAGGAACAGAGAGCACTCCCTCTGTACTTGCTACCCCCACGAGATGGCCTCATAGCTTTGACTTCCACGTGGTCATCACGACTTTACAGGATTCGTGGAAACGTGTATGGGTTGGCCAATGCACCATACACATGGGCAACTGAAGTCACTCGACGTCTTCGATCGATTGACTACCAGCAGCATTCCTTCGACCAACAACTTTACTACAAGGTTGTCAATGACCAAGTTGTCTCCATTATCTTGGTCTATGTGGATGACTTCGTTGGAATTAGCCGTGCTGATTATCCGATCTCTGAAGTCCACGACTTGTTCAAGTGGGGAGCTATGTCCAAATTGGAGCTTGATAAGCCTGCCACATTCAAAGGCAAAGAATTGACCCTTTGTCGCAACGCTCATGGAAGATTCACCATGAAGATTACCATGGAAAAGTTCATCGATGGCTTGGATGAATCGTCGCTTCCTCGTGGACGACTGTTGAAAGGTGACAAGCTGACCGAAGAGGAACAGAAAGAGCTTCGTAGTATCTCAGGTTCCCTCCAGTGGCTTGCAACACAAAGCCGTCCTGAGATAGCCCCGGTGGTTAGTCTTACAGCTCATGGTGACGCTGCAACTATCCACGACCTCAAGAATTTGTATGCAACAGTGGGCTATTTGAAGCAGAGTTCAAAAGCTGGCATTTTGATGCAAGATGTGCCGGTCAATGAAGATACTGTGATTCTAGCCTACAGCGATTCCAGCTGGGCAAATGCTTCGAAGAGTGGAAGCCAGATTGGTGTGGTAATTGGTCTGACCACCCCTTTGGAAAAGCATCAGCCTGCAAAGTTCTCGCTGATTGACTGGAAATCTGCTCGCGCAGTTCGTGTTTGTAGGAGCACTTTAGCTGCCGAGGCATCAGCTGCAGATGAAGCGTCCGATCGCAGTGCCTACGTCAATATGCATTTGGGCGAACTCGTGCACCTTGAACCTGCCCACCGAGTTGGAGTTCGCTTAGCATTTCTCCAGGCAACGGATGCCAAAAGTTTGTTTGATGCAGTGATTTCACCAAACACTGTTACCAATGACAAACGTACTATGGTTTCAATTAGGACCATTCAAGAAACGGTCACCAAAGAAAACATTCGTTGGGTCCCAACTAGATTTCAATTTAGCGATGGGTTGACAAAGATTGATGAAAAGCTACGGGTTTCCTTTTCAAAGTGGCTGCAAAACCCTGTGGCAATCTTGGTCGAGCACCCGGAGAACGCTCTTTTGGAGCAACAGCTTTTTGGCCAAGCTGTTGCGTTGCATGAGTCATTTAGCCGAGGTTCAACCGTAAAGCATCAAAAGAATAACGCCAGTGTGAATTTCAGCCTGCACCATTCCATGTTCCATGATCATTGATGCTTTACTTGTGGCCCTCTTTTTGGCTGAATGCCCATTTCGTCAGGGATCCCCTGAGTCTTACCTTTCGCATGCCATGTGAGCAAAAGGTGTCAGTGTCTGCATTTGTGCTTTTGACCTCAGATCTGGTTTGTTACAAGACCTATAAAACGCAATTAAGATATTGCCAAAAATTGGATTTCGAAGCGGACCCTATTAATAAATTAAAACTCTTAATAAAAAACTATTTGTTTCGATTTCAAAATCAATTAAATTTTCCTTATATAACGCAATTAAAATATTGCCAAAAGTTTGTTTTCGAAGCGTGCCCTAAGGATAAATTAAAAGCCCTAATTTTAAAAACAAAACATTTTCGGACGGACCCTAATAATAAACACCCCAGGGTTGACAAGTCCTTATTATTAGGGGGCACAACCCACAAATGGTAGCTTTATTTTTAAGTTGTTTTCTAAAGGGGATCAAGTAAAAGTCAAATTGGCCAATCCGAAATTTTCCAAAATTGGAGATGGACCTAGATTTTATCATTTGGGGGGGTTTAGTAATAGGGGGAAGGGATTACTGGTGATGATTGACGTGCTATGGCGCTATTGAACTTTTTCCCCGAAAACGATTGGATTACAAAAAGGCAACCCCATCAGTTGGGAATGCTTTTGGAGAAACCAGTAGGTCAAGGAATGACGCCAGGGCATGGCTCTTTCAGGACAAGTCCGTCAGATTCTCAAGATGTTTCAGCACACATGTCCATGACTGGAGAGGCTCAGGTCCAGTGTTCGCATTCAGATTGTGTACCGGGCCCACCATGCAGGGGTCTGAAAATGGAGGAACAACATTTGCCGCGGAAACTATTCCAGTTTCCAAACCACCGCCCGCCCCAGTTCCCGCCCCAGTTTCCGAACCACTGTTTTTCAAGTTTCCGAATCCGAAACAAATTGCATTTTAGGCGACCCAGCCCTCATCTGTGAAAATCCATCCTAACCTTTGCACAAAAAAATCGGTTTCCCATCGATTTTGCTGCAGGATTAGGACGGGGCCACTGCACCGGCTTCACAACACAGACACATGGAGAGAAACTCTAGCAGATTGGTTTGTCTGAAAATGTAGGATTGGACATGATTGGACCTTAATTTGGAACCGGAGTTGATATATTGGACCCAGATGTTGAAGACCCAGATGTGCCAGAGAAAAACAGAAGGTGCAGTGATTTTCCAAGCAAATTCGACCATGAAGGAGTCTTTCAGACTGGCCCTCTTAAGATGAATGGATCGAGTACTAAACTATGGTTTCTGTGGAGTACATTTAATATTAGGAGGATAGTATCAATGTTGCAAGTGCTGTACATGTTCCTGCATGTTGTTCTACAAAAGCGGCCTACGGGGTTCAATATACCGAGAGCCTTGCACCCTATAGATCACAAATCACATTTTTAGGTTCGTGCGTGGATTCTAGTAGGATCCTTTCCCTGAAAAGAAGGCACCTCTATAATCATTACACCCATTGCGGCGTCTGGACACACCCAAATGGTGAGACTGCATCATTTTCCAAGATTGAGAATATGAGGATGGCCCATGACAGGTGTGCTGGCGGAATGCGATCAACGGGGGCTGTCAAGATTCAGGTTGAAGTAGTGGCTGATGCCATGTGAGCGTTGAACATCTCTATATACAATTATATACAATCATATGCTGTACATATCTCTGCATGGATTCCTCCAAAGACAAGGTGCCCCAAAGGCGTGTATATAAATAATTAATCAATAAATAAATCAATAAATATATAAATGCATACACACACACACACTATATATTCGACAAAGCCACGTAGGGCAGTGTCGAAACTCTGACACCCTTACTAGATAGTGCCCGGCCCGCGCCACAGCGGAAGTTTCGACAAAACAAAACAACTATAGGAAGAAGATTGCCTATAGGAACGTTTTTGAGATGCGGAAGCAATGAACTGTTGAAGTTGTGAGGTGCATCAATGAATGAGCAAATGGTGGTTGAGATGCCAATGAAATGACATGAAAGAACCCATGCACAACTAACCGGGTGAACCAATGAATAAATGAATCGATGAATCGATGAACCAGTGAATCAATGAATCAATGAAGCAAGGGTTCAATAAATCAGTGAAGCAACGAACCAACAAATCACTGGATCCATGAGCCAATGAAACGGTGAGCGAACGAATGAATGAATGAATGAATGGATGGATGGATGGATGGATGGATGGGTGGGTTGGTGGATGAATGGAACATATGGAACTGTGAATGAGCGAGCTATTTCTTTTTCGAGCGATTTCTTCACTGAGCGACCACACCTCTTATCTCAGCTACTACTTCTCTGAGCAGCATCTTATTTGGGCTGCTTCTTCTCAGACCCTGCTCCGGAGCTGCCTCCCAGCTAGCTTTTCTGTGGCTTCTGCAACCCAATTCCTCTCTTCGCAGAGGTTACGTTGCGTTCAGCAACCTTTAGCAACCTCCAGCTGCAATCCCGCTTAGCACAAGAGTAGTGCTATGGTCAAAAACTTTACCTATTTTTATCTATCTTTCGCGCAGCTGTTGCAGTCCGTCCATTGCTTTCCTGCGCGCGGCCGTGTCAATGCGTTCTTTCACAACCGGGTGCAAACCCGAATAGCAGGAGCTTCGCGCCAAATCGACCAACGTTCGCGCAGCGCTGACACTTGGGGCAATCCCGCTCTTCTCTAAGATCTCTAAGCATGCCAGCATTTCCTTTTTCCCCAACAGCAAAAGCTAATGTTGTTTTCAGCCCAGAATAGCTCCGGTGTGCACTGGTGCTGGCGCCGGGTCGGGTTCAACGAGTTTCCGAGAAGGTTCCGAAGGTTCCGAAGAAGGTCTGGGAGGCTTTGGTGCAGAGCCAGGTCAGGTTCAACAGGGTTCCGGAGAAGGTTCCGGAGAAGGTCTGGGAGGCTTTGGTGCAGAGCCAGGTCAGGTTCAACAGGGTTCCGGAGAAGGTTCCAGGAAGCCTTGGCGCAAAGCCAAGTCAAGTTCAACAGGGTTCCGGAGAACGTTCCGGAGAAGGTCGGGGAGGCTTTGGTGCAGAGGCAGGGTCAGATTCAACAGGGTTCCGGAGAAGGATGAGCGAGCTTGGCTGCGCGGACGGCTGCGGATGGCGTGGGTGCAAGGGAGTGGCTGGAAATGGGCGGGGAGAAGAAGCCGCTGGGGATGAGCGAGCTTGGCTGCGCGGACGGCTGCGGAGAGCGTGGTTGGAAGGCAGTGGCTGGAAATGGGCGGGGAGAACGGGCATGGAAAATGGTTGCTTGTCGGCTGGCTATGTGCGCATATAGATTAACCGATAAAATAGAATAAAATAGATGTGAAGGGGTGGGGCTAGGGAATAGGTGGAGACATGGGGTGAGGGTGATATGCTTTTTTGGGTTCTCGCTTGGCGTGTATTTTTTCTATCTATATAATTTATTTAATGGTGTTGCTTTCCCAAACATCTTCGATGCTTGGGTTCTCCTTTAGTTGGTTAACCGCGTGGGGAGCGAGCTGCTTTGAAAGGTGGTGTGCGGACGGTGTGGGCGCAAGGGAAGAAGGGAAAGGAAGGGAACAGAAGGGACAGGAAAGGAAAGGAAGGGAAAGGAAGGGAAAGGAAGGGAAAGGAAGGGAAAGGAAGAGAAAGAAAGAGAGAAAGGGACAGGAAGGGAAAGGAAGGGAAAGGAAGGGAAAGGAAGGGAAAGAAAGAGAGAAAGGGAAAGGAAGGGAAAGGAAGGGAACGGAAGCGACAGGAAGGGAAAAGAAGGGAAAGGAAGGGAAAGGGCGGGAAAGGAAGGGAAAGAAAGGGAAAGGAAGGGAAAGAAAGGGAAAGAAAGGGAAAGGAAGGGAAAGAAAGGGAAAGGAAGGGAAAGAAAGGGAAAGAAAGGGAAAGGAAGGGAAAGGAAGGGAAAGGAAGGGAAAGGAAGGGAAAGGAAGGGAAAGGAAGGGAAAGGAAAGGAGAGGTTGATTTGGAAATCAACCGCAGTCGCATGACCGTGCTCAAATGAGTTTGCTTGTCTATTGCGGTCCGTCACTCATTTATTCCGTGCGCAGCTGAAAAAAACATGCGAGGTTTCCACTGCATGCGTCGGAGGTTGATTTGGAAATCAGCCGCCCCTCGCATGACCGTGCTCAAATGAGCTTGCTTGGCTTTTGCACAACGTCACTCAATGCTTCCGTGCAGAGCAGAGCTGAAAAAAATGAAATTTGCAGCGAATGCGTCCATAATGTTCATCTTCTAAAAAGATGCTGGCAAGAGGCGAAAGGGAAATAAACCACAATTATTACTCAAATATGTTTGCTGTCGTTTTGCTTTTGGGTTCTCAGGCCCCCCTTGTTTGTTACTGAAGTGGAAATCAAGCTCCCGCTACAGTGTCGCCCACATTTTTCAAACCTCATCTTCCAAAAGTGTTATGCGGCTGTCGCGAGAAGCAAATTTTAGAATCAACGCCGCTCCCATTCCAGTCTCATGTGCTTGTACTTTTTTGTTGACATCAAGGGCCGCAAACGCAGAAACACAGACCCTACTTCGGCGACCCCAGGAGCCATGACACCCGTAAAAAGACAAGCTTTTTTTGCGCCCGAGAGTATTTTCACACGCTCCCGAGCTGTTACTCTCTTCTCCTCCTCCCGCATGCGAGCTGCTCTTGCTGACTCTGTGGTTGACATGATGACAAGAGTGCCCTTGGACATTTAGTCCGTAACTCAGAAGTTTTCGCACTAAGTTTCCTGTGATGGACATTCCCAACAGCGGGATTTGTAGATCGAGATGATCGAGCGATGTTCCCTTGACAGCCTTCCCCAATCCAAGAACGATTTTTTGCACAGCTGAGCCATCGGGCGTTGCCGAAAACGCAGGAGAGGCAGTGAAAGGAGACATGCAAGAAGTGGAAAGAAGTATCATCTTAGAAATATTTGGTGTTTGTGCAATGCAAAACGGGAGCCAAGGAGCTACTAAGAGTTCCCCTCTACATGATAGGTGCCAAACGCAATTCTATATTGGGTG